AATATCTCATTTCTAAACACTATTATATGAATGAAAATTTGTATATATGGGTAAGAAATCTAATTACTGAGTGCAGATTAAGGAAAAAAGGTATTATAGATACCTTCATGGAAGACAGTAAATAATAATTGTGAAGAGCATAGAGATACATTGCATGCCCTGCTTGGGAGAGGGGAAGTAATAGCTACATTCTAATCTATTGGTTGTGCATTTAATCTATAACTGGCAAAGTCTGATACATATAGTAGTGTAAATATTTTCAAACAGTGTCATAAACAGATAGTTTACTGCAGTAGATATTAATTCTCTCCCATATTTCTAAAACAAGTAGGGAAGCCTTCGAAGTTTTAAAATAATGGGTGGAAACTTTACCCTCTTTTCCCCCTCAGCTGGAGAAATGATTATAGGCAAGCTTGTCATTAATCTGGTGGTTATAGCCCAGATCAAAAGGACTGGCAATCATTTTAATCCTGAAGACTTGTGAGGCCTCAGTAGATTTGATTATTCTTGTGTAGTTGTGCTGAAAAAGAATTATTGAACTTTCAATTTTTAATCAGATAAGAAAGGGAAGGTTGGGTGTAAAACACAAACACATATTTATTTTGACAAGCATCTTGACTCTGCGTAGGTATTTCAACCTCAGCTTACTTTAGTGTGATTTCTTTTCCTTTGGTTTCATTTTAGAAAAGAGACATTCAACGGGAAATCCAGAGAAGACTTTCTTTGAGGGCAGGAAACTCATTTCTCTCTGTTCTTTGTAGATGTTTTCCATGGACAAAGCTTTCGTTGATCTTAAAAGTGGTTGCAAGCTGCAGAGAGAATGAAAATAGCCTTCCAGTTAATAATAGCCATGGTCAATTACATGAAAGATATAATCTCTTTACTGGGATTGAGTAAGAAAGTAATGATTGTCCTGGACAGGTTCCCTTCCCTTTATGTATCCATTAGTATTGACTGATTATTACAGCTCAGTTGAAGATTAGGTACTAATCCTCTGGATTCTGCTTGACCTGACTCCTGGTCATGGAGTTGATGGTGGTGACCTATACAAAGTATTTGTATTGTAACAGCACTTATTTTTAAACACTAAGAATTCCAATAGGAAACCTTTTTAGTCTGACTCAATTTTAGATCTTTACTGCAAAAGTAACTGCTTCTTTGTGATACTTACTAAAGTAACAATATTATTCATTTTACGGCAGGGTCTGGAACTATATACAAGGCAATATTTCTTAAGGTAGATTTTGTGGTCCTCATATTTCTATTATTTTATTACCTAACATTTATTACCTACTGGCATTATTTTCTCTCTTTTATTTGTTATTTTTAAGGGATTTTCCCCATCTGATGGTAAAAATTAAAGTACAGTTAATAATTTCTAAGTTTTATGTTCTTGTTGTTAGGTGCCGTTGAGTTGGTTCCAACTCATAGCGACCCTAGTACTACAGAATGAAACACTGTCCAGTCCTGTGCCGTGCTCACAATTGTTGTTATGTTTGAGCCTATTGTTGCAGCCACTGTGTCAGTCCATCTCGTTGAGGGTCTTCCTCTTTTTCGCTGACCCTGTACTTTACCAAGCACGATATCCTTCTCCAGGTACTGATCCCTCCTAATACCATGTCCAAAGTATGTAAGACGTAGTCTCGCCATCCTAGCTTCTAAGGAGCATTCTGGCTGTACTTCTTACAAGACAGATTTGTTCATTGTTTTGTCAGTCCATGGTATATTCAATATTCTTCGCCAACACCACAGTTCAAAGGCATCAGTTCTTCTTCGGTCCTCCTTATTCATTCATTGTCCAGCTTTTGCGTGCATATGATACAACTGAAAATACCATGGCTTGGGTCAGACGCATCTTAGTCTTCAAGGTGACATCTTTGCTTTTCAACCCTTTAAAGAGGTCTTTTGCAGCAGATTTGCCCAATGCAGTGCGTCCTTTGATTTCTTGACTGCTGCTTCCATGGGTGTTGATTGTGGATCCAAGTGAAATGAAATCCTTGACAACTTCAATCTTTTCTTCGTTTATCATGATGTTGTTTACTGGTCCCATTGTGAGGATTTTTGTTTTCTTTATGCTAACGTGTGATCTATACTGAAGGCTGTGGTCTTTGATCTTCATCAGTAAGTGCTTCAAGTCCTCTTCACTTTCAGCAAGCAAGGTTGTGTCATCTGCATAACACAGGTTGTTAATGAGTCTTCCTCCAATCCTGATGCCCTGTTCTTCTTCCTATAGTCCAGCTTCTTGGATTATTTGCTCAGCATACAGATTGAATAGGTACGGTGAAAGGACGCAACCCTGTTGCACACCTTTCCTGACTTTAAACCACACAGTATTCCCTTGTTCTGTCCAAACAATTGCCTCTTGATCTATGTACAGGTTCCTCATGAGCACAATTAAGTGTTCTGGAATTCCAGTTCTTTACAATGTTATCCATAATTTGTTATGATCCATATAGTCGAATGCCTTTGCATAGTCAATAAAATACAGGTAAACATCTTCCTGGTATTCTCTGCTTTCAGCCAGGATCCATCTGATATCAGCAGTGATATCCCTGGTTCCAAGTCCTCTTCTGAATTCAGCCTGAATTTCTGGCAGTTCCCTGTTGGCATACTGCTGCAGCCATTTTCGAATGATCTTCAGCAAAATTTTACTTGCATGTGATATTAATAATATTGTTTGATAATTTCTGCATTCAGTTAGATCACCTTTCTTTGGAATAGGCATAAATATGGATCTTTTCCGGTAGGTTGGCCAGGTAGCTGTCTTCCAAATTTCTTGGCATAGACAAGTGAGCACTTCCAGTGCTGCGCTCATTTATTGAGAAGTCCTGTTGAAACATCTCAATTGGTATTCCATCAATCCTGGAGCCTTGTTTTTTGCCAATGCCTTCAGTGCAGCTTGGACTCCTTCCTTCAGTACCGTCAGTTCCTGATCATGTGCTACCTCCTGAAATGGTTGAACGTTGACCAATTCTTTTTGGTACAATGACTCTGTGTATTCCTTCCATCTTCTTTTGATGCTTCCTTTATTGTTTAATATTTTCCCCATAGAATCCTTCACAGTTGCAACTCGAGGCTTGAATTTTTTCTTCAGTTCTTTCAGCTTGAGAAATGCCGAGCATGTTCTTCCCTTTTGGTTTTCTATCTCCAGGTCTTTGCACATGTCATTATAATACTTTACTTTGCTTCTTGAGCCACCTTTTGAAATCTTCTGTTCAGTTCTTTTACTTCATCATTTCTTCCTTTTGCTTTAGCTACTCGATGTTGAACAGCAAGTTTCAGGGTCTCTTCTGACATCCATTTTGGTCTTTCTTTCCTGTCTTTTTAATGACCCTTGCTTTCTTCAGGTATGTTGTCCTTGATGTCATTCCACGACTCGTCTGGTCTTCGGTCGTTAGTGTTCAACCCGTAAAATCTGTTTGGTCTCTAAATTCAGGTGGGATATACTCAAGGTCGTACTTTGGCTCTTGTGGACTTGTTCTAATTTTCTTCAGTTTCAACTTGAACTTGCATATGAGCAA